AATCAACCGACCAAGCGAGCGACAGCGACCCTGGCAGCGAATTCAATGCAATAAAAACGAGTAGAATGTAAAGTCGCAGGAAGCCGACTTTTGTGTACGCTTCAATTCATTTAACTTAATAATTATTTTATTTTAAATATTAATAGATACATATGTAGTAGAATGTAAAGTCGCAGGAAGCCGACTTTTGTGTACGCTTCAATTCATTTAACGTAATAATTATTTTATTTTAAATATTAATAGATACATATGTAGTAGAATGTAAAGTCGCAGGAAGCCGACTTTTGTGTACGCTTCAATTCATTTAACTTAATAATTATTTTATTTTAAATATTAATAGATACATATGCTGATTTGTATAAACTAACTTTAATTAATATACTCCACCGATTCAGTAATTTATTTTGCATAATATTTCATTTTAAAAAATTTGATCATATTTTAATTTGTTAAATTAAATCTGTTATATTCAGCAGTTCATTTAATTAAATTTAATTTTTTTTTTTTAAATTACAAAACTAGTACTGAAATAAGCTTAGTTTTTTTAATATAAGTATAATTAAGCAATGCATTCATTTAATTATAAAAGTTTGAATAAAAAATTTGGTAAAATTAAAAGAAAAGATAAATGTGTTGTTTTTGGGTATAACTTTTTTAGAAATTACAAATTAAAGAATCACAGCAGTTACATACATATAAGCAGACTTCTTTAGAAATGAAGTGGAAGATGGTAGAGTTCATAGGAAAAACTCAACACTTTTTTTCCCAAAGCCAGCTCTTATACTTTCCTGGAGCTTATACAGACCTGAGAAAACTCGTCTTCTCAATCTGATCAATCGGCCACGCTTCCTTTTGGCTGTTACAAAAAGTGTTAGATTTCATAATGCCTTGTCACCCTTTGGGAGCAGGGTATAAAAAATGCTGTGCTTATGTTGCCGATGCTGTTGTTGTTATCTCTCTGCTGGTGCTGCTGCTGCTTTTTGTTAAATTCTTCTTTTTTTAAAGCAAACACACACTCACTCGCATGGCTTCCTGCAGCCGTTTAATGTATGCATGTGTTTGTTTGTGTGTGTGTGTGTGTGTGTGTTTACAAGAGAGAGATGCGAGTCCGACGACTAAACACTGTGGGAAAATTCAGGCCGTGGGAATAAAATTCGACATTTGTTAAGGTGTTGGCGAACAGGCGAGCAGAAGCAGAGAGCACGCCATGAGAACAAAGCGACGAAAGCGGAAAAAAATAAAATGTGGAAAATAAAATGCTGGGGATGTCGTTCCCAATGGTATTCTGCCTGCCTCTCTATCAGTGCTTATGCATGTATGTATGCGTATATATGTACTTGTATGTATGTAGTATGTGTGCATGGCTCTGCGCCTGAGTGTAGAGTGTGTGTGTGTGTGTGTGAGGGCAGCATAAAGAGATGAAGCCACAAAGAGACAATATCATGGCTGCTTGCATGTTGCAGACGAGCCCAGACTGCAATGAGAGCGGGAGTGAGAGAGAGAGGGAGAGAAAGCGTACAAGAGCGAGAGAGCTGTACACATGGGCCCTTATGTTGCCAGACGCGTCCCTCTTGCCCGTTCCTTATTCCCTTTTAGTGCTTGTGCCGTCGTATTATTTGGTTCGTGCAACATTTTGTAGCATGCAGGCGTTGGCGCAGCTGACAACGCACAGATTTCAACGGAACAATTCAGAATAGGCGCCCAGCAGTGCATAGACACCATCCGCGATAATTGCATGTTGCAAGGCGAGGCAGCAACAGAAGCAGCCGCAGCCGCAGCCACAGCCACAGCAGCAGCAGCAGCAGCAGCAGAGACGGCAACAGAGACAGCAACAGAGTCGCCACTGATTGCGACGACTACGATTTCAGCTAACATAGGCCCTTAAAAGCCACCAAAACAGCTCATGTTCAGATGTCGCCCTGCGGGCATCATTAGGGTAGAAGGTTCCGATTAGAAACTGCAGCAGGCACACAGCACAGTGCAGAAGGCGAATGCTGCTTCCAACCATCCGCTAATCGGGCAATGGGCATCGGGTATCGGGTATCGGGCAATCCATAATAGCAACTGCAGCGCCTGCCTGGGAACCGGGACGTGCGCCCTTTAGCCAGACACCAGACACAGAGACAGAGAGAAGCAAGAACTACTATATTTTTAGCAGGAAATTGCAGAAGCAAACAGCAAAAAAGAAATGAATAAATGAAGAGGCAATCGGCGGGCCATTGTGTAAAGAGGAGCACGATAAAATGGACAGACCAGGCAGCATGGCATGGCATGGCATGGCATGAGTTTTTATGCTGCCAGCATAAAAACGTGGCAATACCGGCGACTTCAGGATGCCAGGGGAGCGGCAACCAATACTGAAGAAGTTGCCAACAAACTCAGGCAGAAACGATACGCCAGAAAACCAGACCTGTCCCATCATTGAGAACATTCTGGCTTGTGTGTTCATTAATGATCGCTCAATAATAACAGCTCCGAACATGAGCCCTAATGACCGACTTTTTCTTCAGAAAGGGTAACTAAACAGAGCGATAGATATAATTATTCCTGCATTGAGACTATGTACATTAATGAAGCATCTTTTATACTTCAGTAGTACTTTGTAAATTATTTTAATTAGCTGAGTTGCCCAGCTTTTTATACTCATTTTCCAATTGGTAAGGGTATTATGCAATCGTTTAATAGTTGAATAAGAAAGGCCAAGTTTATATATTATTACATATTATACAACATCTAACCTAAAGAAAAATTAGTTTAATATACATATGTACAAGTATATATATATATATATATTTTTTTTTAATGGCTGTTCTACATTTTTTCTACCCTCAGAGCTAAAGATATTACCTTTATTAGATTTAAATATAATTTAGAGTTGATTAATTATACTGAACGTATCCAAAGTTTGAAAAGAAAGTACCTTCCCTTAAATAAAATAATTTCATTTAGTAACACCGGCTTCCATATTTCATGCGACAATGAATGTAATATTTCGATAAACTTATTCCATCATGCTACTTAAGCATTAGTACGCTTTTTCGGGGAATTAAAAGCACGATAGACTCTTTTAATATATTATGCTCTTCCCCTATTGATGACTGATATTATTTTAAACGTAATTTAAAACTTTTTAAGCAGCCTACGCAATTTACGCTTGAAGTCCAAACATAAATAAATGCAGGTACATTGGAACTATTTCTTTATGTTCACAGCTTTTTGTGTGCAAAGCAAATAAGTTTAAGTAAATAAAACAAAAGCAATCTGTTACATAACAGGTAAATAAAAATGGACATACACATCCATAAATAACACTGTGTTAGCAACCAGAGCTAAAATAATAAATAGGATAATAAGTATTTGTGAACTTAACCCCAACTTCGACTCTTATAGCTGGCGTGCATTGAACTTATAAATTTAGGAGCGAAGTGTGTATAGTTTTGTCAAAATGTCCAATATTAACAAACGACAAGTATGTGTATTTATAATTATTAATAGGAGAGTCTAACAGAAGGATTAAGGATAAGACTCTGCAATTCTATTTGGTCTTTTGTGAACGAAATTTTCTGATAATAAAGAAGGATAAAATATTCAGCCTGATAAGCAGTTTATCCTGTTCCATCCCTATTTTAAACTATCCCCAATAAAATGAGCAAGCGAAAGTAATTAAAAATGTATATATGAGAACCTCAGATATACCTATATCTGAAAGTCCCAGGTATGTTTTATAAAAGAGGCATTTGTAAAAATCATTTCATTATTACAATCCTTTCTGTTCTTAAAAGTTTCTTATAGGTTCTTAAAAGGTTTCTATAATAATAATTATGTACTATATTTGTTGCTTTAATTCATTTTTTTGGTATGGCGAAAATATTTAAAAATGTATATATGAGAAGGTACTTATATCTGAAAGCCCCCGGTATGTTTTTAAAAAACAGGCATTTCTAATAATTTAAATTAAAAAATTGTTTCATTATTGCTATCCTTTCTATTCATAGTGAGGCTAAAGATCTATATTAATTAATTACTATTATTATTATTATTATTAATTAGTATGTACTATTTTTATTGCTTTAGTTCATATTGTTGGTACACTATGTTTGTGTAAAGAATGTAACCGGCAGAAGGAAGCATTCAGCAGCCTAAATAATCTACAGTTTTTTGTGTCTAACCATTTAGTTGTTGCCTTAATGTTTCAAAAAAAGCACAACATTTCAGCTTTGATTTACAAATAGACTAATAAATTATTTCAATTTTCATGTTTCATTTTGAGACTTTCTGGTTTTTTTTCTTGTTATTTTTTTGAACAGGTTACATGTTCATTTCCTGCAATTTGAATAACTTCTCGTACCCCCAGCTGCTGGAGTTCCAAATATATGCATGCAGTTGCCACATCCATCAATAAAAGTCGGAAAAGGGTGGGCCTGACGACAAAATCAAAGTCATTGCCATTTAAAAGCAAACAGCGCCTCAACTTCAATGCAAACATTTCGTAGCATGTCTGACAATATTTATGCGCCTGTCGAGCTACATGTTGTGGGAGGATGTGGGTGTGTGTGTGTGTGTGTGTGTGTGTGTGTGTGTGCACCCAGGTGTGGGTAAATGGTAAATGCTGGCAGACAGCGACAATGAAATTACTGCAAAACGATTTGCGGGCGCTGCCTGCGTCCTGGCCTGCGTCCTGGCTATTGGTGGCTGGTGGAAGGATAGAAATTGAATTTGCAATTTTCAGAATCGAATCAAGTTATTATAGCATATTTTGCGGGGCCTTAGCAACACCCACATGGCTCGGCTATTATGTATAGTTATTTATGCACCTGGCAACAGCCCGCGACATAGCTTTGGTTGTAGTTGTTGCCAAGCCAGCATAGCCATTGTTTACGATTAGAAAATAGAAATAGAAAACCCAACTACTCACACAGCATAGCTCATTTTCACTTCCAGCCAAGGTTGAAGTTCTCCGCTCAAAAGGTGCTACTGCTTAGCTAATTACTGGGCCAGCAATGCCAGCCAATCTGAGGCCCAACACCAACGGCAATACGCCCGAGGATTGGCGCATCTTCGAGCTCCTCTGTACCGCCGGAATCAAGGATAGAAAGCCCTCGGCGGTGCCGTCGCCATCGCCTTTGCCAACCTGTTACGAGGTAAGTCCACGGCTCTTTCCGGCTTCGATGAGCGCACATTTTTTGCATAAATTTGAATTACTCACGTCAGTAGTTGTATCGTTTTAACGGTTATCTAAAATTAGCTGTGCCTAGTCGCGCATGTTCACCAAAATTGCCGGATTTATGTGCTTCATTCCTACTCGTATAATGGCAAGTTTTGGAGAGCGAGGAGTTGCCTCCCCGCCACATAAATATGTGCAGTTAGCTGTTGTTGGGTGTGAAATTTATGCGGTTGTTAGGGAAAAGTTTTCCGTTTTCCGCGTTCATTTGTTTTTGTTTATTTTAGCGTTTAAGTCGAGAGCGGGGAGAGGTAACTATTTCTGAGTGCTCTGTTCACATGAATTTGCATAAAACGTGTGCAGATTGTCACAGTGGGTTAAAGCGGGAATTAGCACGTTTGTCAAATAGAGATTTGAAATTTTAGGAAGGAAATACTTTAGCTGTAAAAACCTAACCAACTACCTGATACTTACAATTGCAGCAGCTAAATGGGTTGCCGTTTCAGTTATCTGTCTAGTTGAAAGGAAAGGAAATTCCTGAAAATATTAACCTTTTGCCCAGAAACCCAGAAACTAACAGGCTATGACGTAAAGTAATTTTGAATCGAATGTTGTAAAAATTTTGCCACAAAACGTTGAATATTGTAAAGAATTGATTCCATAGTTCGTTTTAATATTAAAATGTCTTAAAATGGGAATAAAGCTTAATAGCTCTAGATCCAATTCTTTCCAGCTACCAATCCCTATAATACACCTAAGTGTATGTGAGTGCTTAAAAAATTTAAATTGCGAGGCCTGTCGGCAAAGGGTTCTGTAGATAAAGAGATCTGTGGGAAGGGTAGTATATAATAACAATTCTAAAGCTTGTGATTTTGCATGAGAAATTAACTTTCATTTAAATCAGAACTATTTCTTAAATTGACAGTAACAGTATCCAAAAGCTATATCAGCTATATAATTAGCCCCCTGAATTGCTGAGCCACTACAATTGCTTTAAGCTTGTTAACTCTTTAAACGTTTTAACTCTAGAGAGATCTAAAGTGATCTGTAGTTTTAGATATCCTAGGCCTAGAGACCCCTAGATAAGTGATCTATTTATTTTCTATTTTCTATTTATTTTCTATCATATATCATATATGTTTTATATATTTATTTGTAAGAGCATGAATCTATATATTACGTGCATGCTTTTGTCTGATAAATTGCTTTTCTTTAAAGCCAGAAAATGCACAAACAAATTTGCAAACCCGCAAAGGCTTCAAGTCTTTTATATTCTGCCTGCCCACAAAATTGCTGGGCGACTTAAATTACCTGAACCCCACCCCGGAGGCTAAGTTTTCAGCAGGCCTAACCGAACTTGCACACCTCATTTTCCGGTTCCGGTCGCAGAACGCAACAATTTTGTGGTCCGGGACACAAATTCGTTCACACTGTGCACTTTTTGGGTTGGCGTGCGTGCCTTCGTTTGGACTGCATCGGCAGCGGTATTGGCGCCATGTGAATGACCCAAATAACAACAAACAAACAAACAAACAAATGAAAACTTTGCGATACGAAAGCGTCCTCTGTCCGCTCCCCCCTCTGTTTGAGTAGCTCAGCAGTTTTCACTTATGTCGCCGCCCTGACAACAACAACTCCATCGACCCCCCAATTAACTGCCTTTGAGCATAAATGCGAAGTAGTGTGTGATGTGATGTTATGTTGCCGTAAATTCCAAAAAGCCTTGCCAAGTTGGCTCGATTATTGCCCAGTTGTTAGGCATTGTTGCCAATGCCAGCCGCTTGCATTAAAGCTAGAAACCAGGAGGCTCAGTTGGACTTTGGCAGTTGCGACGTACGGTTGCCCATAATTGGTAGTAGCCAGGGACTAATTTAGACAGAACTCTGTAGTTGTAGTTGTTGTTGCTGTTGTTTCGGGCAAAATGCCAAGTGATAATCACTCATCGCATTTGCATCATCACCACCACACGCTGGGTGGCGGATTGTCGCCCCATCGCCATCATTTGGTAGGGCGGGCTCGCACTCATCCCATGGCTTTCCCACTCCTCCTCTAGCTGCCTCTCTAAAGCGCTCTACTCCTAAATACTATATATGTGTGTGTGTACTATATTTCCCAGCTGGACACATCGTGCGGCAATGCAGGCATTTCCATAACCGAGCACCACTCCAGCATAGACATGACGACCACACTGCGCAGCGAGCTGGCGGCGTTATCCTACAAGAAGGACCGTCTGGCCAGCGAGGTAAGCACAGCTGGATAACCAACTTTTAAATCTGTAAAGGGTAGTGCTAATCAAAAATACCCTACCTATACCTTTATAAGAACATTTATTTCCATCTCCTATACAGCATTGTCAGCAACTGCGAATTAATTTTTTAAAGAATTATAATAATTACAAAAATTTAAATCTTTAAAGGGTAGTTCTAATCTATCTAGTTCTATTTTGATAAGAAGGTTTGTTTCCATCACCTATCCAGCGATTGCGAATATATACAGAGCCATTTTTTAAAGAATTATAATAATTAGACGAAATAATAATTACCGATTTTTAGAGCACACTGAAATCTCTGAAAAAATGTCTTTAATTTAAATATTTAAGTTTTTAAATTTATCGAGGTGGAATTTTTTTTTTTTGAGCTCACATTGCTCATTCTTTTGAAAATTTGATTATTTTTACTTTTTCTTTAAGAAGAAGATATGCATATACTATATGTACAAGTATGTATATATCTTATTCTATTCTATGGAATACATTTATTTAAAAAATTCGTTTGAAGAAATCTGTATTCTCTCTTTAATTTTTTTTGCCCTTTGAGTAAATGAGTTTGTTTGGCATTTTCAAAAACTAGTTGTTGATTGTTGGGGATATTTTGATTTTTAAATTTACTAATCAAAATTACTAATCAAGGCTTTGTAAGGCTATCCAGAATTTCTATTCACCTATGTTCTAAGTTGCGTTTAAATTTGTTTATTTTCAAGTTGCTAGCTATCGAGAAGTCAATTACAAAATGTTTAAATTTTGAAGGGGATAAAAATTGAATTAATATATATTTTTTTTCATTTATTACAGCTAATATATAATTACAAATTAAATGCTAGCTTAAATTTAAACGGAGCATTAGCTGCTATGGGCTTAAGCTCCCTGTATGCACAATATAATGATTTTTATAATTTTAATAACATTTAACAATTAATTACAACACATTTAATAGAGAACATATATTTAAAGAGTATCTGTTAATGTAATGCTTATGTCCAATGATAGGAGAGATTTAATTCACACAGTTTTTGGTAAAGATAAGGAACTTAAAAATAAATTCAAAATTCTGGGGCCTTGGTTGGGTTAGAATCAGAAGGGGCTTGTTTTCTGCTGGCTTCTAAAATTTTACTATTTTTAAGGACATCTTCGACTGTTATTCGAACAGGTTGTCAACAGACTTGGCAGTTGCTGGATAGTGATGCGTCCATAAAGTGCAAATGTGTTTAATAAGAGTGTTCTAAGTCTAATTAATTGGATTTGAACATTTTTGTTCAGTATGACGAACAAAATCGTTGCATAAAATATTATTGGGATTTACGAGTTGTTACCACTCGAAGGATTAAGTAAGTGCTATAGTTCGTTGCTTATTTTCGCTTACAACCAGGTATAGACGCGAATAGGTGTTATTATTACAATTTAGATTATTTACTAGTATTTAAATGTGTATTTCAAAGTCGGGGGAATACCCGACATTAGCTTTTCCACTTGTTTGTTTTTCCGTCGATACATCTGCCTACCATCTAAGGTATATGGAACAACCAATTTGTGGTCAAAAGTAGGGCCAATATTGGAGTTAAATTTTTCTTCAGCCATAAATATATTGTTTTAGATTCCACAATCTCTTTACTTTCCAGTTAGCCGAGACACGCTCTGTTTTGTGTGCCAGGGAAGCGGACTGCGAGACTCTGCGAGCGCAAGCAGCTCGTCAGACGGCGCTGATAGGTTCGCTCCAGAGTCGCTTGCAGGCGGCCGAGAACCGCGAGCAGTCCATGCAGGCCCATTGCGACTCCACAGTCCACACAATGCAGCGCGAGAAGCGGCACTCGGATGAGCGCAATAAGGAACTGATTTGTAAGCTGCAACATCTAGAGACGCAGGCGGCCAGCGAGGAGTCGCAGAAGGAGCAGGCCAAAGCACAGCTGCAGGACCTGCTGCGCCGTCTAAGTGTGTGTCTGGGCATGGATGTGTGCGAGAACGCACACCTAACCCCCGAATGTGTGCTATCTCGGGCCGAGGAGGTCGTGCTGGAGCTGCAGCGTGCCAAGGCGAAGGTAAGCTCCACCTGCGACACCCTAAGCAGCTGTGAGAACGAGCTGCTGAATCTCAAGTCGCTGGCGAACATCGAGAAGCAGCGTCTGACGGCGCAGCTAGATGGTGCGGGCAATCATAATCATGAGCTGGAGGGGCGCTGTCGGCAGTACGAACGCGATTTGCAAATACAACGCGATCGCCTGACGGAGTCCGAGATAAATGGCGAGAAACTGAAGGAGGAGTTGCGCGGATTCGAGTCGCGTTGTCATCGCCTGCAAAACAATTTGGATCGCATACAGAGCGATCGACTGCAGTTTTTGCGCGTACTGAGCAATCAGCTGAATGTGCCCGAGCCCTGCGAAACACTGATCAAGGATAAGCTGAGGGAGACGCTGGTGGAGAATCAAAGCATGCATACGGTGAGGGAAACTTGTCCTAAATACTAGTATATGTTGATTAATTATTTCCCCCCGACATGACAGCAACTGCATTCGTTACGCGATCAGCTAAGCAATGAGCACGAGAAACTGAAGGAGACTCAGGAGTCCACCGAGTGTCGTCTGCGCACTTGCGAGTCGCAGAAATGCGAGCTGGGCGAGCGTCTGGAGAAGTGTCACGCCGAAATTCATGCGCTGCGCAAGGACCATCTGGGCCTCTCCGAGTTCCTGCAGCGCCTGGCCAGCGCCATGAATTGGAGCGAGTGTACGGCGCCACCAGCGCTTGGTGCAGACACTCATCTCATGGCTGACAATTTGCTGGAGCGGGCTGAGCGTTTGACTGCCCATTGCGAGCACGAACTAGCCCATCAGCATCATCATCACACCCCGGAGAAGGGTGCCTGCTGCTCCGACCATCACCAACACCATCATGGCAAGCTGCGACGCGAGCGCTCCTGCCACGACATTCCGCTCAAGGACAGCAGCAGCGTCTACAACCTGCAGCGACGGGTGCGGGTGCTGCGCGAACAGGTGCAGCGGAGGGACCTGCACCTGGAACTGCTGCGTCGCAAGTTGGCCATCATTGAGGATGGGGCGCGGGGCAAGTGTATGTTGCAGGGCGAGCGCGATGATGCCGTTTGTCGGGCGAAGAAAGCGGCCAAGCAGGTGGATAAGCTGACCGCCCAACTGGCCGATGCGCGCTCCCAAATCGCTGAGGTTAAGGCTCAGCTAGCCGAGGCTGTGGAGTATAAGATCACCTCGTTGGAGCGTGCACGTAAAATCGATGAGCTGACCACACAAATTTGCGATCTGGAGGACGAGAAGACACGCCTGCTGGCTCAACTGAGTGCCCTGAAGGAGCGCATGAAGTCCTCCTGCGAGTCCAATCAGAACCGGCGCTGTCGTGACGAGTCCCTCATCAACGTGAGTGCAACAAAGTCTGCCAGTATGAGGCATCCACATCTGCTCTTTTCTTTACAGTCGCTGCGTGAGGACGTTAGCCGCCTCAGTGCTCAACTATCGGATGCCAATCAGCGCCTCTCCCATCTGCAATCCTTCCGCACTTCGGTGGCACGCACCCTGCATTTGCGAGACTTGCCCGAAACGGATCTGCTGCATCGTCTGCAAGCTCTGTGCTCGGCCCATCAGGAGTTCACGATGCTGTCCAAGCGCTACGAAGCTGCCTCGCCGGTGGGCGACCATCCTTGTCCGCGCTTCGACGACGTCACACCCCCCTCCACCCACTGTCGACAACCTCGCGATCTCAGCTCGCCACCGCCCTTCCATCACAAGACCTCGGCCAGTGTCGAACACCACCACAGTTCGAGTAGCCACCACCACAACCACAACCACAGTCACAGCCATGGCCATAGCCACGCCCACACGCGTCATCAGCAGCGCCAGCGTAGCAAGAGCCGCGACAAACGCCTGCACGACGAATGCTTCGACACGGATGTCCATCGCCTGCATCATGGCTGCAAGGACGACGGCCTGCTGGCCAACAACTCTGGCGGCAGCTGTGACGACGACTACGACTTCAAGTCCAAATATTGCTAAACACCACCAAACCAACACCCAAACCAATACCCAGCTAGCATTTCCTTTGACTAAATAAATACGTTCAAGCAACCAGACATTTTTTGCACTAAAAGGGAAAAATAAAAAGTTATATACAAGGTATGTTTAAGAGAAAAGGCGAATTTAATTCCCGTTAGTTTTAACAATCCACGCTTTTGGAATTTCAGGCAGTCTTCAGTCTTGATGGTTCCGGTGTGATTCGAACCAATACCCTACTAACAAACAAACATTGCGGTATTCCTGCTAGCTCGTTAAGGATATGCTAGGCTCTGAAATGGGAGTAACAACTTGCTTTGGCATGGTTTCTTAGCAGTTCTTCAGCACTTTATTCAAACAAGCTGGGATTTCCCTGCTTAGGAATGTCCTTAATATCGATATTTCTTATAAAAATCGATCGAAACATCGAATTAAAATCGAAAACAATCGCATACGTTACATGGCATGTTTCTTAGCAGTCCTTCAGCACTTTTTTTGAAACAAGCCATATCACAGTTTTATTACTTTTGTGAATTTTCTGGGATTTCCCTGCTTAGGAATGTCCTTAATATCGATATTTTTTATAAAAATCGATCGAAACATCGAATTAAAATCGAAAACAATCGCATACGTTACATGGCATGTTTCTTAGCAGCCCTTCAGCACTTTTTTTGAAACAAGCCATATCACAGTTTTATTACTTTTGTGAATTTTCTGGGATTTCCCTGCTTAGAAATGTCCTTAATATCGATATTTTTTATAAAAATCGATCGAAACATCGAATTAAAATCGAAAACAATCACTTACGTTACATCACTATCTTAGATTCATTTTTTTCAAAAGTCAAAAATCGAAGAACACACAGAAACGGGACTAACCTTTTCAGTTGTCAACAACAAACGACTAATTCAAATTGGCCGATAATGCCAATATAAATAAATTTCGATAATCGACTGTACACAGTTCGCGAAAATTCAAAACTCAACATTCACCTTTTCTTTTTGGAGATAAGACAAGATAAATCGATACAAACAGAACCGTCTTTTCGTAGTTCTATTGGGCCCATCTGTCTGTATGAATACCCTTTACTTTTGAGTCGTAATACCTAGGGAAGTCAAATTTATATCCACCTTCGCGCACATCCTCATTATTTAATATACACATAATTCTGTTTTTACACGGTAGATTGGTTCCTAAAAAAAGTCGTTTAAAAAAACCGTGTAAAAAAAGACATTGATCATATGAAAAATGAATCGTGCTAAATGGAATTTAGGTCGTGTAACCATATATAAAATTTGTAATTTTCAAACCATGTTAAATCAGAACCGATCAGAAAAACCGTGCAAAAACAGAATTAGGTGTAGTTACCATGGGAGGGATCAGTAATCCCTCAACTTATTTGTTTATAAAGATGTTTGTAAAGATATGTTTATGAAGATCTCAAACAAATTTGGTCTTAACATGTTTTTTTATATTACGAAGTTTGTTTCAAATCGGTTGACCATATCATGTGTAGTATCTAGTTATAGTTAAATACCAGTTATATTTATAATTAAGGAGCTGCAGTCAATATAGGGTCGCTTCCTGTTGCTTCGTCTCTTTTCTCATCGGCAGCACGTGCGATTCCTAAGGTGCCATTTTTGGGTTTTTTCGTCGTTGGTGGATAGGGGAATTGTGGAAATATTTCCAACTTGGAGCAAATGCGGCTGAGCGAGCACTGCCAGCAGCATTGAGGAAATGGTATGCGCGTATTCAGCATGTCCGGTTCCTGGCACTCGCTTGATGGAATCGTCTGCGGACAGCTAAAGCGGTCAGTTAATCAAGACTTTGTTCTGCTTTAAATAAATCCGCACTACTTACTGGTAGACATAGGTCAGGCCGTCCGCATTCATGCAGACAGTCATGCCGCAGACATTGTCGTCGCGTTTGGACTCGCCTGGGAACAGAGCAAACAAATCGTATTTCATTTTCTTACCCACGCGATAGTGCACGGGATAGCACTGACCGGGATAATCTGCCAAAAAAAAACCACGATATCTCAAAGCAGCTAAGCCATTAAATACTCTGCCCTACAAACCCTTATGCTTCAAAATTTTGATGAAGACCAAACAGTTCGTGAAAGTAAAAAGGCAGCACACAATCAAAAGCAACTTCATTTTGCGAAAATTCAACAGCAACTGATTTCCAAATCAGATATAGCCTGCCTTATTTGCCAGCTACGATTACGGCAAGAATAAATAAATGCCAGGTGCTGTTTAGATATTTGATAGCTCGAGAAAATTTATTTATTTACTTTTTTTTAAGCGAATTATTCTGCCAGGGCCACTCACTAACTAATACAATTTACGGCGAAAAGTGTCATTATTTTTAGCCATATATTGGAAATCAATAAAAATATATCATTAACTATCTTTTCATTAATGTTTAGCCTCTGAGCTTTGAAGTCCTGCTGTTGAGAAAAAAATGCCTAAAATAATCCAATTCTTGAGTCATATACAAATATTTGTCTGTACATCCTAGATTGAAAGAACTGATTATATATTTACCCGCTTTGTGTTTTAACACTAAGTCCTTTTTAGAACACCGAAGTTTTATGAATATGCTGTATTAATACTGACCGGATTGGCAATCAAATTTTCCCCCACCGGGTTGCAGACTTTCCTTTTTCCCTTTCTGCTCCTTACTTCAACTAGATGGCTCTTAAGTGGAACTAAATAATAATGTTTCTGACCACATATGGCTGCGAATCGGGGCATAACTGGCCAAATGGCAAATAAAATTTCCCCATAAAAACTTACAAGTAACTAGTAATACTAATGCTATAATAATAATACTAAAATAATAATAATACTAATACTTGTAATGCTACGATAGAAATTACAAATAAAATAAATAAATGAAAAACATTATTGTATAATTATTTTTTAGGGTTTCTTATTTTTAAGTTGAAACTAGTACGTAATATTATTTTATATCTGTATTGTAATTTTATATTAAACATTTTAAATAGTTAATCTGTATCGACAGCACAATTTGTTGATTTATTAAATAAATAAATAATCCTTTTTTCATTCTTTTTAATGCCCCCTGCCGCTGTTTTGGTTGGTGGCGCAGCAAACCTTATAAACGACATATCCTTTATATAAACTTAATAAAATTTATTAAATAAACTGAATTATAACAATATAAATATTTCGGTTTTTTAAGAAAATCTAAAGCTTGCTAATTTCAATAATTTTTAAATTTCAGCATTCCGTTTTGGCCACCTTACGCTAGATGGCGCAACTTATCCCTTTGGTACGTGTCTCTGCCAAACAACTGTGTATAACATTTTATGGTTTGTGCCTTGGGTGTGGCTGCTTATGCAACCATTGGAAAGCTGCCAGCTATGCCACTCGAGCGTTACATTTTGAATGAAGGCCTGCGCTGTGAAAATATGAAATTAAAGTTAAAATATTGATTGACTTGCTAGCTGGCTGGGGCAGGGACTTTGTTTGGTCACGGCCAGCGCTTATGCAAATTGAAAAGTGTCAAACACATTGTAATTTTCATTGGCTGTCAAATAAATCACGGCAACCAGTTTATGCACGAAGTACGGACCTCCGGACGCCAATACTGGTGGCCACTGACACCGCCACTGACGGACAACAGACAACGGACAACGGACAGCGATGCAACGGCTGCAAAGCGACGTGCAATTAATCAAAAGTGCAGCCTATCATGATGCATACTTAAAGCTTGCATGCAAAATGTTACTCGTAAATGCAAAAATGTGACATGCCCAGATGCTGCAATTTCCCAAACGGAGGCACAACGACACACACGTGAGTTCTGCAGACGCCGATCAGACAATGTCGATGCGATGGCTCTTGGAGCAATGAACTTGACAAACTTGTGAAGATCCCCAGATCAGGGCGGGTGGCAGTCGGGTGGCAGTCTTATGCCAAGGGGGAGTGGCGGGGGGTGCTAGCAAACGAAGGCAATTCGCGTGCGCTCAGTCAGAACCGGCAACCAACAACCAGCAAGACGAGCCAGAAGAAGAATGGAAGCAAAGCCAAAACGTAAAACATGTTCGGCTGCTTGGCATTGAGGGAGAGACAGAGCCCCCACAAATGCATATTACTTACACACCTACAGTGGAAGTTCCCTTTTTCGTGAAGGTATTATAAACATTAAGTATAAACATAGTACTTAGATACAGCTAATTCTGTTTTTACACGATATGGTATAACCTGGTTTGAAAATTAAAAATTTCATAGATATTACTTTAGAGATAAGGAACCAATCACCTATTTTTACACGGTTGTTTCTGGGACCAATCTAGCGTGTAAAAACAGAATTAGGTGTAATTTATATTAAAAAGTACAATACAATACAAATTAAGAAAAATTATATGATTTAAAAAGGTTTGAAATTACAATTATTTGTCATGAAATTGCAAATCAATTAATACTTAACACTGAGCTGCAACTGTAAAGAAAATAGAAAAGATGTTCAGCAATCGAGCGCTTGCTTGTTGTAGAATAAAATGCCAAAACTATAGAGAATACCAGAGCTTGACCCTAAAAACGAGCAAGATTTTCGATAGGGACAAATTGTTTTTATTGCCAGTCTTTGTCAGCTTTCCATTCCTTATTCTTTATTGCTTACATATCTGGGCTTGTGTTATATGTTTTTGATGTCCGCAAATATTCAACAAAGAATATCAATTAAATATAGTTGAAATAATAAAATTTCTGCACTGGAAATATTGAGAATGTTGGGAAAGGCTTTTGATAAACAGTCTATGTCCAAAACGCAAGTTTTTAAATGACATATAATGCTCCAGAGAGGATCGAGAAGGCGTTGAAGGCAAATCACATCAAAAACATCAGGAATATTAGGAAAGTAAAGAGTACTACAGACATTGCTGATGCTAACTGAATTTCTATGGCTTAGTCAACATCATTTGATGAGAATTTTTAAGCCTTTTAAAAGTCAGGCTTTTGATAAACACGCTATGACCAAAACGCAAGTTTTTAAATGGCATATAATGCTCCAGAGAGCACCGAAAAAGCGTTGAAGGCAAACCACATCTAAGAACACCAAGAACATCAGGAACATCAGGAAATTAAAGAATTGGTGCTGATGCTAATGGCATTTCTATGGATTAGTCAACAAAAAATGATGATAATTTTTGGATCTCTTAAAAGTCAAGTCGTCGGTCGAGTACTGCAGACATTGCTGATGCTGTTGGCATTTCTATGGACTAGTAAACAACATTTAATAAGAAATTTTGGACCTCTAAAAAAGTCTAGTCTAGTAAATAATTCACCACAGCATCCATTCTTCTTGACGATTTGTTAATATAAATAATATTTCAATAGCAACAAATGTATTCTTATTTTGCAGACTTTTTTTAATCTTTCTGGCATAACTTAAATAAATTACTTCATTGGCCTTAACCCCCAGCCTAATCAGTCTAGCATAGGCCGATCTATTTTCCCCCCTTTTCTCTTGATTGTCACTCTTAAGTGACCTCCACTGTGTGTCGCTGCTGTCGTTATCGTTGTTGTCTCTGTCTCTGTCGCTGTCGCTGTTGTGGTCACATATGTTGTTGCATATATTCTCAGGCGCATGCATAGGTTAGTGATCTCGGCTGGCCAGACAGCAACTGCAGCATAAACCAACAGGTTTGGGCTTTGATCTTTTGCAACAAGCAAACAATCGGCAAATGAGTCTCGCAAAGAGCTGACAGTGGCATGGCAATGTCCAGGCACAGGCACAGTCGAAGACAGAGACCCAGACCCAGGCCTTGCCGCTCAACACCAAATGCGACTTTTGATCTCTAACAGACACATAGTATACAATACTATGCTCGTATGTACATATATTTACTAGCATGTTGGGATATGCATATGCGCCCATGCATACAGAAAAATAAGCCATGCCGTCGCTCAGGTGTGGCAAGAATTTGTTACGGAGGCGCGGATGCGGATGCGGGTGCGGATGCCACTAAGCCCAGCCCCAAAGCAAAAATTAGCCAAGCTGTAGAATGAAATTTTCTTAAACATTTTATTTAGCATTTTATTTCCTATAGAAGAGTCAGACAAATAGCCAGTTAGTCTTCTAATTTCCCTTCTAATTTTAGTCTTGATATTCGCAAGCTAAATAAACTTAAATTAATTATTTCATTTATGATGGAAAAAAAATCAGTGAAGATGTGGAACATGTAAACCATTTTGGTAAATTTCACCTGGAGAATACAGCTCTTCCACAGATTTCTTATGCTGCAAATCTGTTTATAAATTATTTACAAACAAATATTAAAAAGTGGTAGTTTTCAACAGTGTCTCGAGAGCAAGACAGGCGGCTTTTGGTGGGGAAATTTAAAAAAACACAAAGCAATCTATTGAAATTGATATATTTAAAGAAAAGTAAGTAAAATATATTTCAAAATCCTAGCATTACTTAAATCTGATTCTTCTGAAAGGTCATAAAAAATGCAGTCTTTTAGTTAATTTTTTGATAAAAGATTAAGTGACTTTTTCAAACTAAAACTGCTAAAATGTTATTCCTTATTTTTTGTTTGTTTGATAGAAAAAAATCTTACTTAAAATATCGTCAATAGTTCAGAGTCATTAAATCATAATAGAAGTTAAATATATTCGGCTTTTATTATCTTTTATTTCTGTCAAAAAAAGATCATTTGTTTATTTTTTTGCAATTTAAAAAATATATAAAATGGGCTGCATTTTAAAATATAGCTTTAATTAAAACATTAAATGCAAAATGTGTTTGAAAATCTTTTTTTTTAGCTACTTTTCTTCTAAATAGAAAATTACTTTAAAATTTGATCAATCGAAAGTGGCAGACTGAATTATAGAATCTCTCTATAAAAGAACTCGCCCATCAATTCTTAAGTTGCTTAAATTTCTAAGCTGCAACATTCACAAAATATTATTAGCTCTAAATAAAGGCCATGCAAATGGTTTTACAAAACTAGATACATATATTTATATATTCTCCACCCATAGTAAATGAATTTTAAATTAAAACAAGAAAGGAATGCTAAAGTCGAGCAGGCTCAACTCTTAAATACCCTGTACCACCCCACAAAAAAGTAATTAAATTAATTAATTAATTAAATTTAATTAATTAACTAAATTAATTTAAT